AAAACATGATAGATATATGATTATGATATTTGAAAAATATACATTTTGATAAATGACTATTTTATTATTTTAGGTTAGCATGAAAAATGATTGATATGTTGGGATGACACTAAAAAATTAAGCCTTTCCAATATTTTTATCAAAAGGATTCTAGAATATTTTGATATAAGTTGTAGATACTGTAACTGACAACAAAACCTTAGTCAGTTATCACTTTTTAAGATTTTCTTGTTATTTAAATTAATAAAAATTGTTATTTCTTGAATTAGAGTAGTAATTCATTTTTGCTAATTTAGTCAATTTACAAAGAGTATTGATAAGTTATAATTTCTTGTTACATTGTTGAAAATCTAAGGACAAAAGTTGTTAATATAAGAACAAAGGTTGTAAATGAAAAGTTGTTAATTTTCAACACCTGATGTATATTAGAATTTGCATATGTAAAGTTACAAATGATTATTGAATTGTTGTAAATTTAAAAATAAAAGTTATTAATATAGGAATAAAAATTGTAAATAGAAAGTTGCGAATGATTTTAATTTGAATAAAGGGCAAAAGTGTCATCTCTTATAATTCCCTAATGACAAAAATATTTCTTGGGACTCTAGAAAAAATATGTCTTTTTGTGAGATTAATATGTATTTTAGATAATTTAAAGAAATTTTATTGTTATTTTTCCAACAATAAAAGAAAAATGACAATAAAATTCTTTCAAGTTATATAAATGATAATATAATCTTTTAAAATATCATTTTACTTTCGTGTTAATAAATTTTAATTTGAAAAGATAATTTTACTTTTATTGACAAGTTATAATTTCTTATTTAATTTTTATAATTCTTTAAATAAAAGTTATCACTTTATAAATAAAAGTTATGATTGGAATTTGTTATTTTAAAAACTTATTTTTCAATAATAAAAATTACATTTAATAAATTATGATTTCTTATTCAACTCTTATAATTTACAAAATAAAAATTATTATTCCTCAAACAAAAGTTATGATTGAAATTTATTTTTTTAACAATAGAAATTACACTTGATAAGTTGTAATTCTTGTTCAAATTTATGATTCACAAAACAAAAGTCACTATTCCTTAAGTTAAAGTTATGATTAAGACATGTTATTTTCAATAAGAGTAAAATTATTTTTTCATTTTAAAATTTAGGAAAAATTCTGTGAAGATCTCGTGGAGCAAGCTTATTTATCAATAAGTCTTGTAAAATTTAAAAATTATAGCTAGGTCCCTTAAAACTTGAATGTAAATTGAAATTAGGCTATAAAAACAATAATACTCTTATTAAATATATATTATATTAATTAAATAATTAATTTATAATTACTTCATCACTAATTTATAACTATAATTTCAAATTTTTTAAACTGTAATTTTATATATTCAATAATTAAATAATCATGTATTATTATTAGAGTTTAATATTAATTATTTACAACTATTTTATCATAATTTACAACTATAACTTTAACTTTTTATAACTATAACTTTATATATTCGATAAAATTATTGAATATATAAAGTTATAGTTGTAAAAGTTGAAATTATAATTATAAAATTCTAATAACATAGTTATAAATTTTTTGACTGATATACTATATATGTGTTCAATAGGGGTATTATTATTTTTATTCTAATTTTAAATTATACTCAGATCTTAAGGTATTTAGTTGTAGTTTCTGAATTTTGTGAGACTTAGTTATAAATAAGTTAGTTCATAGGACTTAGATATAATTTTCTCTAAAATCTATTGATATAAAAATTCATAGAGATTTCAATAGAATTACAGTATTTCAAGACATCATATTATCATTCATTAAAATCATGGAGATTTTATTGTTATTTTTCCAACAATGAACCTTATTCTATTAATTAGAGTTAGCTATAAAAATTGCATGACAAAAAATAATTTTATACAACAGCCGAGAAAAATGGAAAAAACATCACCATTAAAAAAATAAAAATGCATTCTTTTAGAAATTATTATTTTTATATGAAATTGAATTGAAAGTGGAAACTGGAAACCATAAAAAGCATGAATATTTTAGATCCGTTTTTTGTATATAAAAATTATTTAGAAGTGTGTTTATATTTATATTATTGTTAGAAAAGAGTTCAAAGGTGGTGAAAAAAAACCAAGAAACCAGAACATTTTTTAAATATTTTTTTCATTTATTTTGAAAAAGCTAGAAAAAATTAGAAAATATTACGTTTTCATCATTAATAATCATATTAATAAAATAAATAAATTTTCACCCTTTTTTCACCACCTTATATACATATATATTTTAAATAATTTTTAAATATTTTCTATTTTTTTTCCAAAACTTGTTTTAAAAATTATTTTGTAGCATTGTTCTAAGAATAGAAAAAATAGAAAATAGAATCACAGCCTAAAAAAAAAAAAAAATCACACCAGCTCATTAGCGTCTTTGAGGTCTGAGTACGTAGGATGAAGAGGAAGCTAAAATCTAGTTGCATTGTATTCCTTCTTCTCTCTACTGTAGGACATCTAAAAAGATTTTTTAGTTCTTGAGATAAGATTTTTGATGAAGTATTAATTATATTATTTAATTATGATAGAAATTGTAATACAAATTTAAAAAATTTTCAATTAAAAAGAGTTAAAATTAGAAATTTATTCTTATTTTTAAACAATATTAATAACTTAATTAACCACATTTTCTTAATTCTTCCTATGGACATTCATTAAATCTTGGATTTGGAAGAGAATAATTGGGAGTGCTTTTATCATCAATGGCACATTTGTTTTAGCTTATTTTATAAAAAATCACTTATTTTTTTTAAAAAATTATTTTATAAGCTTTTATAATATTTGTCAAAAATTTTGAAAATAATCAAAATTTTAATAAAAGTAGATCTCTAATTATTTTAAGAAACTAGTTTAAATAGTTTTTGAAAATAATTTAATGTAATAGATGATAGCTAGTATTTTAAATATGTGGGATATATGAATATATCATAAAATTTAAAAAACTAATAATTATTTCATCATTAATCTGTATAAAATAAATATCTTTTTATAAATATTTAAACTATCTATAAATAATTTTTAATTTTAAATAAATAGGTCCTAGATCTTAACTGCACTCACAAATTAACAATGGACATTCAGTCCCTGTTAATAAATGGGCGGCATGGGGGAAGAAGCACTACATTTAGGAATTAACAACACGAAACTTTGTTAAAAAAAATCCCCCCTTTCTTATCGGGATTGGAACTAAGAAGAATGGTTAGGACAACAAACATCCGTCTTATTCGTATTTTGATACCCGTATAACCATCGAAGAATGAATACCATATTGTAAACCTCTTTTGGGATGCTCTAGTAACAGCCAACTCCCAATCTTTTTATTTTTTGCAATAAAAAATATCAAATATATTAAAAAAGGAAAAAATGATTTACAATAATATACGTTTAGAAGCCATGCTTAAATGAAAGAAATTAAGTGTGTGTTTAATTTTTAGTCTACATTTAACACAAGCACGTATGAAGATTTAACTATTTGTTGAATTTGACAAATACATATTGATGTGGTTTGAATGTGTTGTTGAGAGTTATCCAATCCAATAAGAACTCTAAAACTTGTAGTAACAAAAGAAACAAAAATAAAACAAGAAATAAGAAAATCTATGTCATAATTAACAACATATGAGATCAAAGATTAGAGATATTGAGATTACAGAGTATAAAAAATATAAGATATTTTTGAGAAATTAAATATTAAAAAATATAAGGCATTTTTAGTCATTCGAGATATAGTCATTGGTTTTTTTTTAAAATACCCCTATCGATAATAACTTTATATTTATTATAAGGTGTTTAATAAGAATAAATATGAAAAGATAAAATTAGTTTGAAAGTAGTTAACTATTTTATTAAGAGTAAGATTCAATTAAAATGCCTTACATTTTTTAAGAGAGGGAGTAACTTTGTGTGTTTAAACATTGAGCCCGATTGTTTTCATTTATTTTATGAAAAAAATACTTACTTTTTTAAAAAATTTATTTTATGAGTTTTTATGATATTTTGTTTTAAAATTTTGAAAATAATCAAAATCCAAAAAATAATTCTAAATAGCTTTTGAAAATAATTTAATACGGTAAATGAGAAAGAGTATTTTAAAGCGGCAGGATAATGTGAGAATATCATAAAATTTTAAAATAATATAATAATAAATTAGTTTTATAAAACAAAGATTAACAAGATGTCATAAAATTTAAAATAGCTAAATAATAATTATTTTTTTTTATTGTAACCAAAAATAAAATAATGTTTGCTTTTTATAAAATTTTTACAAAATAAACCCTTTTTATAAAATCTCTAGATTACCTAAAAATTAAATCACTTATTTTTTCAGTCTTAAATAAATATGTACATTACCTACATAATGAAAAGGACAACCAAATAAATAGAATGCTTTCATAGAAAATTTAATTGCTATTATAAATTTAGACTCCAACTCAAGTTATTAAGAATTACTTTCCCAATTAAAAAATATAAGATATTTTTAATCGAATTTTATCTCAATAAAATATTTATTTACTTTTAAATTAATCTTATCTTTTCATATTTACCTTTATTAAATACCTTATAATAAATATAAAGTTATTATCAATGGAGACATTTAAAAAAAAAGACAATGATTATTACATCTTAAAAGATAAAAAATATCTTATATTTTTAAATATGTAACTTTTTAAAAAATATTTTATATTTTCATGGGAGGGAGTAACTTTTAGCTAATTGATCTAAAGACCTGGTAGCGTAATCAATTCATGTTTCAAAAATTAGAAAACTAACGTTATATTTTTTTTACAAAAAATGTACAAAGAATTAAGTTGATAAAAATTCAATTATTATTATTTTTTTAAATCCCAAATATTCATGACCAAGCACCCACTTGTCCGGCAGAAAGCACGCTCTTCTACTCAGATTGCTCGGTTCATTCTGATGCAAAAAGAAAAACAGTCTGGTCGCTGTCGACTAGGTCTGATTGTATTGATAGTAATGTCGGTCATCAATCGATTAGGGAAGGAGAAGGGCCATAACCCTGCATTAATCTGGGAATCTCAGCATTGTCGTCGTCGTGTTGCCGGCGACGATCAAGTCGACGGCGCCATCAACATCGACAATGGATGGATAAAGGGAACTCCTCTTTCCACACTCCGTAACTCCCATTTCTAACCATCACAATACTATGCCTTGCAATTTTTTCTATTACTTCTTAACCAACTTTCAATTCCCAATCATGATTTGTAGATCTGCTTGGGCGGGAGAATCTATGGAAGGAGTTCAACAAGATCAATTAGGAAGTCTCTAAGCTTAAGCGTGTAAGCATTTTAGTTTCTATTTTCACTTCTGTTTTCTGAAGTTCTGCTATGGGACTCTTAGAATTTAGTAGCTAGGTTTTGCAGTCAGGAAACGACGAACAATTAACAGTTCCCATTTCGAAGTTCACATTGATTTGAGGTCAATTAAAAAAAAAAAAAGAGTAATCCACGTCAATGGGAGAACGTGATAAATTGATAGTGTGTGTATGTTTATATTTCTGCCTAATGATAGTAAATATATGTGTAATTCCATTTTATTTTTGTCGTGATTGAAGATATTCTCATGTTGTTCCCAAATTAAAGAATTATAGCGCGAATAGATAAAGATAGAGAGAGCCAGACAGAGGTGGCCCAAGGCGCACACACACAGGTGAGCTGGACTTCTCAATATTACAAATCAAGTTGAGTTATTTTCCTAAGATTCTGGACATGTTTAGGGAATGAGAACAGACAAATTTATTAGGCTTATGTATAATTCTATTAACAGAATCTGTATGCGCGTGTATTTTATTTACTGGGTCAATATAATCTAATTTAAATAACACTCATTTCTAATATTTTTATTTTAGCCGATTAAATATAATATTTCTATGAACATTGCAACCCACATTAATTATAAAAATATACACATACAAGAAATCACGTTTCGTTGGACAGAATTTAGGTGATTAATCATGTCAAGTTCTTTTTCAATATTTGTGAGTCATTTTTCATTATTAATTTCTTTTTCATGTAACATGTAAACCTGCACTTTATGCTTTCATTAGAATTTCGTAAATATTTGAATTTGAAGTCTTTAATTATTGTATGATATCATTTGCTGTGATCAATAGCGGAGCTAAGACCTTGAATAAGGGGTGTAGGACAATGTAATTTAAAAATTAATAATTAAAAAAATAATTTTTAAATTTTTTAAAATTAATTATATTAGGCAAAAAATATACTAACATAAGGAAAATTTTATATATTTTTATTTGGGCAAAATATATTGAAATTTTTTTGCCAGAAACATGTTGAGAAGGTTGATATTGAATTTAAGTTTGAACCCTAAAATATTTTTCATTTAAAATTTCCCATACTACGTATATAATTTTTCTCATGTGAGGGGGTGCATTCCCCCCTCCTCACATGTACATGTACTGGCTCTGCCGCAGTGACGATAGTAATGAGCAAAATGTGATGTTATTGTATATTCATTTACATTTTAAAATATTACATTATGATGTGCTCGTGATCTCTGGTACATTGAAATGAAATAATTATAAAGTAAGCATGAAAAAGAACTAAGAATCCGGGTTTATTTATTTAATTAAATATATGTGAACATGAGGAAAAGGGCTAATATGATATAAGATGTACTTTTTTTTTTTTTTGGGAGTAAACGATAATGTGGTAACTAAATTTCCGATATCTAGTTACAAGTGCTTATATATATAAATATATATATATATAATATATACACATATACTCATTATTCTTTGACGTGGAGCTTGAAATCTCCCATATTCTTAAAACATATCAATTTATATATATATATAAAAGAAAAGCTGCCCCATTGTTCACAAGCTGTCATGCCTCGTTTTCATTCTAGTTTTAATTTTAATTATCTTAAGGAAAAAAATTAAAATAAATATGACAAGAAAAAGCTAGTGACATTTTGTCTTGTCTCAGAAGAAAAAGGGATTAGTGGAATGCGTATTCCAAGTGGTCCCATGAGAGCAATCACGTGGAAGACTTAGACATTGACTCAATAATTGTTCTGTATCTACCAATTCCTCTTCCATTATCCAAGTTTCTTTCTCTTATTATCTTGAGTGGGAATTCCTTCCATTTTTCTCTTCATTGACTCTGTTCTTCCTCAATTCAAAAGATAAAGGTCCAAAAAACAAAGCTTCTGATACCTTCTAAATCTTCTTTCAGAGGTAAAATTGCATTCTGATTGTATTTGTTTCCATTTTGTGTTCATATTACAACTTCTTATATGACTTTTTCTGTATATTTAGTTTACACTTCTAGTTTTTATATACGAGAAAAGCTTCATGTTCTAAAGTATATCTGGTATTTTTGAACGTCTCAAATCAACATGACTTGTGTATTTTTGCGTGTGTGTAGTTTCCATACCCAAAAAACAGAGCAAACTATGAAGGCATCTTCTTACGGTGTTTGAGTATATGGAGAAAGAGTCAGTAATTCTAATAGTTTCTTATTTCATTGTGTTCATAATGTTACTAGCATCTTGTTTATTTATCTATTTTTGTCATTATAAAAATATTGAGTTTTACAAAGGTAATACAAATAAAAACTTCCTTAATTAAACTAAAGGAGAGTGCTACGTCCCCCTAAATATAACCTAGTATCAATTGACCTATTAAAACACTTTTGGTGAAAACTACACTAATTCATTCTAATCTTAGCCTTCAATCACAATGTTACCCTAATCTATATAATGCTACACTTGACGTCTGAATGTTAAATATAATTTTGTCAATGTGAAATTACTAAAATATGCTCCCCATTGTTCCACTTTTCCCACATCTTCATCCTCTCCATCTCTTCCCCTGCCTGCAAATTCTCAATGGCCAGACCACCCATGCTTGGAAATGAAAAAAAAAAAAAGTGCAAAATTCTTAGAGGAGGAGTTCTTGACTATTTTTCTCTTGCATTTTACTTGAGGAAGAGAGCTATAAATATATGAGACTATGACCACAATTTGCAACTAGAATTCCATGAGTAAGGAGTAAGAAAAAGGCAAGAAAATAATATAAAAATAATCTTGAAATCATGCATGGCCTTGTAATCTTTAACAATTGTTAGTCCACTGTATCCCATAAAATCTAGAAAATAAGAATAGAAGTAGCCATTTCATATAAAGAAGGAAATGAAGTTTGTTTTGAAAGTTGACTTGAGGAAAATAGACCTGTTGGCTCTTTAATGCACCAGAATCACAGCTTAAAATATCATAATTTGAATGAGGATTATGTTGTTAGACAATTATTCTCCAACAGTTCCTGTCCAGTTGGGGAGTAAATACCCAACATATTTTGCTTGTTGATAAATCTTTCAAACTTCAGTGGAGCTAATGCCTTGGGGACGACATTGATAGCTTGGGAATGAGTTGCAATATGACTTAACTCCAGCATACTAGCTTCTAACCTTTCCATGTAATGTCCTTGAATTTCAACGTGTTTAGTTTGATCATGGATTCATGGCTATAGGATTCTTTAGCCAACCTCACATCTACGTTTCCTCATAAGTATTCTTGATTCCTCAAATAATCTCTTTAATCACCCACATGCCATGATCAACAGCTCAAAATTCATATCACCACGTTTATGGGCCCTGGTATGGAGTCTACTACCTTGAGTAGGATGAACAACATAGTAAACCCAAATATATTGAAGAACAAAGAAGAGAAGAAACGAGTAACAGGATATAGGAATAGAAATGTTTTAACGGCTGTCCGGTTGTTCAAGATTTTGGATGGAGCCCTATTGGGGGGTGTTTGATAAGGAACAAGTAACCTCCCAAAATTATGATTCTTTCTTTCAGTTATTCTGTTTTGTTGTGAGTTATTGACACACATGATGAAAATGCAATGATTGCCAAAGAAAATTCTTGAGGTTGAGGTTGGCATATTATTTGTCCTTGTCAATTGTAAACACTTTGATTTGAGTTTGAAATTGATTATGAATTATGATACTAAAATTTTTCAGTGATTTGGGGCTTCACTTGTTTCATTATAAGATAGAGCTAGGTATGCCTAATACAGTCATTAATTAGAGTGATGAAACACTTGGTTCCTAACATGGTGGGAATCTGAGGAGTTCAAACATCATTATGAATTAAGGTTCGTGGCTGGGAAGGTTTGCATGGGCAAGAGGGCTTGTGACTCTTTATAAGTTTAGAGACTTCACAAACTTAACATTGAAATGAACTATTATTCTTCTCATATAAATTATGGAAAAATGTCTTTCTGTTTAAAATTTGGATGACCCATCTATGAGTGCCGGAACATTCTTTTGCTGTGGAACTATGTAAAGGCCCCCTGCGCTCCTTAGAATGCCCAATCACCCTCCTTAACTCCCTGTTTGGTTGGAGGGGAGGAGCTCCCCTCCCCTTGTCCTATCTAAACAAGGCAAGGGGAGGGGGCCCCTCTCCCCTTGTTTGGCAAAGGGATGAGAGGAAAAATTTTAGGGGAAGTGGTTCCTCCCCTCCCCCTCCCTCTCTCCCCTGTCGCCTCCCCTCTCGTCTATTAAAATCCCTCTCCTCCCCTCCCCTCCAACCAAACATAGCGTAAAGCAAGGATCTAAGAGTAGCAGCAATTAGCTTCAAAGTTAGTCATGCAATTACGTTCTTTGGTTTTGCTTTAAGAGTTACTGGCTATCTTAGGCACCTACAAAACATTGTATGAAATTACTCCCTCCGGTCCACAATGTAGGATACTTGCAGCATGCATCACACATATTAAGGAAATTCAGTTTTTTTTTTTTTAAATCTCATCAGAAATTGACTCGTGTTAATATGGAAAGGTATTTCTTAAAACTATAAAATGTCCTACATTTTAGACCAACAATAGCTCGTGGAAGTATGTTACATACCAGAGGGAGTAAATCTTTAGATTGATAGATATTAGGTTAATTTTGCTCTTGCTTTGATTTGCCCGCTTATCTATCTTAATATGTACCACTTCTTAAAATCATAGATCATTGTAGCTATGATTTTCAAGTTTTGATCATATTGTGGATCCACTAACTTCATAGTTAGTATGCTGGAGAGTTGGATAGACTGACTATAACCTCATTTGCATGTTAGATGTTGACCTTCCCTGTTAATGCTCCAAGCAACATTCTCCAATGTTTGGTGGATCTAGTGAAAAACGAAGCTCACTACTTATGTTGTTTGGAGAATCATGTTGAAAATTTTGAGAGAAAAAAGAAAATACTTGCTGCAAAACAACAGGATGTGAAGATAAATATTGAAAATGCTAGTGGTGTTTCAAGAGTTAAGAATGAAGCTCAGCAATGGATACATGAAGCTGATAGTCTTATTGAAGTTGACACAGAAACAAAGAAGAAATGGTTTTTTGGCTTGTGTCCTAGTTGCTACCGGCAATACCATAGTGGAAAGGAGTTGGCAAAGAAGACTTTGGAGATTGATGAGCTATTGGGAAGATGTAGTTTCAACATAGTGGGAGGTCCAGTTGATCTTCCAAGCTTAAAATACCATTCATTACCAAGCTTTATTGATTTTGAGAGCAGAAAGTTAAATTTCAAGATTTGTTGGAGGCATTAGAAGATGAAAATTGCAATTTGATTGGATTGCAAGGCATGGGGGGCACAGGTAAAACCTCAATGGCAATAGAAGTAGGTGTTAAACTTGAAGAATCCAAATATCATAGCGTCATCCTTCTTGATGTGTCTAATCCTCCAGATTTCAAAAAGATTCGTGGTGAAATTGCAAGGCATTTGAATTTAACATTAGAGGAAGGAAAGGAAAAAGAACATTCAAAGACAATATGGTCTAGAATTACTAATAAGAAAGAAAAGCTTCTTATAATACTAGATGATGTATGGGAAGAGTTTGATCTTATAAAAGACATAGGCATTCCATCTAGCCACCAGCACAAGGGTTGTAGTGTATTGATAATTAGTCGTAATTTGAATGTTTGTGAAGTAATGGGTTGTCAAAGGATGATTCAACTAGATATGCTGGTTGATAAGGAAGCATTTAATCTTTTTCTAATACATGCCAATACTTCCTCAAGTCGTTTGAAGGGCATAGCACAAAACATTGTGAAGCAGTGTGGAGGTTTACCAATTGCAATTGTAGCAGTAGCAAGAGCTTTAAGAAATCGGCCTTTAGCAATTTGGAGGGAAGCTTTGAAAACCTTGCAAAATTCCAAGTCAATGATTGATGTTAATCAAAATTTGACGAAGATTTATAAATGTTTGAAGTTAAGCTATGATAATCTAAAGAATGAGAAGGCCAAAAAACTCTTTTTGATATGTTCTATTTTCCCAAAAGATTTTGAAATTTCTATAGAACTTTTGAGTAAAATTGGTATTGGAGTAGGGCTTTTTGGGGAAGTGGAGAAATACTGTACAACAAGAGGCAAAGTGCTTGCGGCTATACAAGAACTTGTGGATTCTTGTTTATTATTAAATCTTCAAGATGGGTTGGTAAAGATGCATGATTTAGTTCGTGAAGTGGCCTTATGGATAGCTGACAAAGACATTCAAGTGATCATGGATTTTAAGACAACTATAGAAGCCAATCTGTGATATTTGTTTTGGAACTCTGAAGACTTTCCCAATCAATTTGATGGCACGAATTTGGAGATTTTTATAATAAATGTAAATGGTTCAGAGGATTTGAAGGTCCCATATTCATTCTTCATAGAGATGACAAAGCTCAGAGTATTGCATTTAAAATGCACTTATGTTCACTCACAAATTTTAGATTCATCATTGTTATACTCACTTCAATCATTAATGAATATCCAAACTCTTTCTTTGATGAATTTGAAATTAGGTGACATTTCTATTTTGGGAAACTTACCTAGTCTTGTGACTCTTGAGTTGAATCATTGTTCAATCATTGAATTATCAGAAGAAATTTTGGGATTAAAGAGGTTGAGATTGTTGGAGATAAGAGCATGTAAAGTTAAAATGAATAATCCTTTTGAAGTAATTGAAAGGTGCTCGCAACTAGAAGAGTTGTATTTTGTTGATAATGGGAATTTCATAAATGAAAATATAGATTTTCAAAATTTATCTCCTCTTACATTGCAAAGATATCAGATATCTTCTATTGAACTTCTAGAAGAATTTGAAAAGTATGGTTTAATATCAAGATACTTCTTTCCACATGATTTAAGACCTGTAATCTCAGAGGAAACTTTTAAGCAACTTGTAGGAGCTGCTGAGCTTCTTATATTAGGAGGGTATGATGAAACAAGATGGAAAAATCTTGTCCCTGATATTGTTCATATGGAATGTGGAGGCATGAACGATTTAATTATCCTTCATATGTATTCTTGGCCTGACATACAATGCTTAATTGATACTAGAAATCATTATTTTGATGTGATTGCCTTCTCCAAGTTGATTGAGCTACATCTCTTTGAAATGGATATTGAAGATTTATATCGTGGTTCTCTTCCATCTGGCTTTCTTGAGCAACTAGAGACTATGGAGTTAAAAAGCTGTCTAAAGTTGCAGAACATGTTATTTAATGGCAAGTTAAACCTTTGTCACCTTAAGGCCATGGAATTGAAAGGTTGTGTAGCATTGACATCGATTTTCCAACTATCCACTGCTCGAAGCTTAGTGCTATTGGAAGAATTAACAATTAATGATTGTCATGCACTAGAACACATAGTTTTCAATGACAGCTCAAAAGATGAAATAGTGGGTGATGACAATGGTTATGATCAAAAGAGTCATGACTCATTGTTCCCAAAATTGAAAACTCTTAGAATTGCAAGATGTGACAATTTAGAAATGATATTACCTGTTCTTTTTGCTAGAGGTCTTCCTCCTTTGGAAGTTATAAGCATATGTGAATGTGAGAAATTGAAATACATGTTTAGTCAGTATAGAGAGGAGGACCATGTTTTGCATCAAAATGAACAGGTGGTAATGCTCCCTTTAATGAAAGAAATGAAGCTCTCTAGAGTTCCAAGTTTTATTGACATTTATCGAGAACATTGCAAACTCATGTCTTCATCAATGCAAGGGTCATCATCTTCAGTTCCAACAGATATTGCCAATGAGACACTTCCGAATCCTAATGCACATGCTTGCTCTTGGGCTCCTATATGCTGTTTTCCACATGAATCTAAGGCCACAAGCGAAGAGACTAAGGCCAGTGCTACTATTTCTAAGGAGGAGAAATTGGCTGACCTGACAACCCCCCTGGTATGTTACACTAGGCTCTTTCTTTTTGTTTAACGTTTTCTATTATGAATAGCTAGCAAAAATCTACTTATTTAAAATACTAGATTGAGGGTACCATACTTAGCATATATTCTAAGATGAGACGTATGTTTATGGTTTTTGAATGGTGCTTCTTATAAATTTTATTATATACATTGATATATTGATGATTGATGATATTTGATAGTTAATATTGTGTAGATTGACCATAAAAACTTGAAGAGCTTACTATGAGTGATAAAAAGCTTTTACAGAAAATGTGATGGATTTGAATGTAGTTGTAACACCTCTATATGTCGTTGACTTGATAATGTTTAAAGAGTGTTCTGTTGCACTGCTTAATTATGTGTCTAGAATCTTAAAGTTTATGTATCTAGATAAATGTGTGTTGTTTGAAATATAAATGCATTTCATTTATTCAAAAGACTACAAAAAGCCATGTATATAGAAAAAGAGATCAATAAATCCCTAAATAAAAGCCACTCAATCAGCTATCTAAGAAAACCTATTTACAACTAAATGATAACACATTACAATAAAAAGATATACTCTTGTCTTAATGTGGTTCAAGTATTTGAAAATGCATTATGCATGTTATGGTCATTAAAAGAAAAATCCTGAAATAATAATTGGGCACAGGATAAGGGAGGTGAATGCTATTTTTCTTAAATTTGATAGAAAAACAAAATGCTGGGCTCTAATGGGACAGCAAGAGCATAAAGTTGGAGTAGCAGAGATGAGAATGTTACGATGGATGTGCGGACATACACGTAAAGATAAAATTCGAAATGAGCACATACGTGAAAAAGTGAGGGTGGCACCTATTGAGGAAAAAATGGTAGAAAATCGGTTGAGATGGTTTGGGCATGTACAAAGAAGACCAAGGGAGGCACCAGTGAGAAGAGTGGAACATATAACTTTGAGTCCGATTAAGAGAGGTAGAGGAAGGCCTAAGAGAACACTCTTGGAAGTTGTTGAACGTGATCTCTTAATTAATAATATTTCTAAAAGCTTAATAAATGATAGAGCACAATGGCGTCTTGCAATCCATGTAGCCGACCCCACCTAGTGGGATAAAGGCTTGTTGTTGTTGTTGTTGTTGTTTGATAGAAAAACAAAATCTTAAACTATTATCTCAAGCCTTGAAAGAGAATCATTGTTTGGGGTGAACATTGATCTAACAGTAATTATTTTTTGTAGGGATTATATAATACAGCTCAATGCATTAAAAGACAATTGTTCCACTTTCGTAATATCAAGAAGATGAAACTTGTAAACTTTCCAAATTTATTATCATTGTTCTCCCTGTCCATTGCATCAATGATAATGTGGGAAGAATTGACAATTGAAAAGTAGGATGATTTAAAGCACATGATAACAAATGATGTAGATGATCGTAATGATCAGATCACCTATAAGTCCATTTTCCCAAAATTAGAGAAGCTGGAAATTTGGGATTGCAAGGATTTAGAATTTTTATTTCCATCCACATTACTTGGAGGACTAAAAAATTTAAAATTTTTGACTATCAAGAATGCTCCTGAGCTTAAATATATTTTTGGGAAATACCCTCTTGAGGATCATTTGTTAAATTTGAATCAAAACGATGAGCTTCAATTTGATCTCCCAGCTTTGGAGGTCCTTTGCCTTGGAGATGTACAAAAGATCATTAGCATTTGTGCCATGAATTATTACTTGACATGGCCGTCTCTACATATGGTTGTTCTGGACAATTGCAACATTGAATCTTTCACTGATTTGATGGTTTGTTCAGATGAAGGACGATTGAAGTGGAAAGCTATGAAGGTAACACTTCTAATTTCTACCATTTTATCTATTTGTTACATAGAATTTTGTAATTTTAGACAAGCAAAATTATTTTTGACTCCTAATTTCTTGAGATTTTGAAAGGATTTTCTTAATGAAATATTCTAGCTAATACATGATTTACAAGAGTTAAATGAAGGATATTTAAATGTTTGTAGGAATTAGATGCATCAAGAGGTGGGATTCCTCCTTTCCAAGCATCTCAAAATCCTTTGCTTCAACCACTGAACAATATTAGAACAATGAGACTTGTGAGTTGTTCACGCTTAGTATCATTGCTAGCTCTACCCATTGCATCAAAGATTTTATTGGAAGTTTTGATAATTGAAGAATGTCATGAACTGAAGTGCATAGTAGCAGATGAGGAAGACGCTCAAGCTCTCATGAACTTCAATTCTATATTCTCAAAGTTGAAAGAGTTAAATGTTTCAAGATGCCGTACACTAGAATATTTATTTCCAGCATCTTTGTTTAGATCTCCCACACATTTGAAATATGTGACCATCGCTCATGCTCCTAAGTTGAAATATTTGTTTGGAACGAGCCATCATGAAGATTCATCTCATGAGAGTCAAAATATTGAGGCTTATATTGATTTCCCAGTTTTAGAAAGCTTAAACCTTGAAGTTATACCAAATCTTGTCAGCATTTTCCCTCAAAACTACTATTTGACAGGGCTGTCTCTAAAGTCTATTGTTTTGGATATGTCTCCTGAGTTTATTATTAAATCTTTTACTAATTTCATGAGTGGTCGGCATGCAAGTCAATGTGATTCCACAACCTCAAAGGTATGACTCTCTCTAATTTTTCCTTCTAGTCTCAGTATTTGTTTTTCCCCCCAATTAACGGGTTAAATTTGATCGATATTACTCAGTATCAAAATGTTATTTGCTAGAAGGTTGACCAATGCATTTATATGCAACAATGTATATTAATTTTAACTTGGACTAGTTATGGATTAAATTTTGTCACAAGGCAACCTGTGGAATTTATTTTCTCTCTCATGGAACTTACAGGTAATTGAGAATCGCATACAAACTATGACAGATCTTACAGTACATTACTCCAATGTAGAAGACATTTTTAATTTGGCACAATCGAAGTTTGAGAGAAATAGGGAAGGACTTGAACCAGTGACATCAAGCTTAGAATACTTGACTTTGGGAAACCTTAGTGAGTTAAGGAATATATGTGAGGGCCCAAAATATATTTTAAGCCTCAACAATCTTAAGAAACTAAATATTACATCATGCAAAAAGCTTAAAACTGTCTTCTCTATCTCCATATTGAGAAGTCTGCCTGAGTTGTGGAAGCTAGAGATATCTGACTGTGAAGAACTAGTTCACATTGTTGGAGAGGATATTGAGGAAAATGCTAGTGATCGTTTGTCTCATGAGCCATGCTTTCCGAAATTACATGAACTGCATGTTAAGTCTTGTAACATGTTGAAATACCTGTTCTCTATCTCAATGTCTGGTATACTTCCCAACCTTATGTTTTTGAGCATAAAAGAAGCCTCCAAGCTTAAACATGTAATTATTTCACATGTTGAGATGAAAGAGATGGTGATGACAGATGTGCTTCCAGAGCTATATTATCTGATTTTTGAGGAACTTCCTAGTCTTGTTGATGTTTGCCATGGGATTGATTTTCAAGCTGTACGCATATCTTCTGAAGTATATAATTGTCCTAATTTTTCTTTTTATGGTACGCATTTAGAAAAGTCTCTCTTTAAAATCAATAATTATTGTCACTCTTCAAAATTGAAAGTTATTGTGCAAGGTTAAATATAACTTTGAAAATTCTACTTGCAGAAAATAGTACTACACATCTTCAAGTTGGCCTTGGAAATCTAGATTCTAAAGTTCAGGTGGCAAAAGACGAGAATCTTTCTTCGCATCTCAATACCCATCAATTTGGTATGAGAAAAGCTGAAGGGAGCCAAGACTTGGAAACACAACAATCTTCAATTGGCTCACCAAACTTAACAAGGGTATATCTATATCAAATACTAACTTAATAGAAATAGACATTTTATGTCATCTTTTACTAATGAGTTCAGCTTAACCAGAATTTTTCCTTTTTTCTTTTTCCCTGTGGTATTTGTAAGGGTATAAATAAGAAATCAAAGGAAATTGTTGAAGAGAACATTATTTCAAAGATGCCAACAATAGAAAATTTATCATATGATTCAGAGTCTGTAGGACAACTCCTATGTGTTAACTAAGCTCTTTACAATATATTCTTCTATGTTTTAGTCTTGGTCATAACATATAGAAGTAGTAAAAAAATAATATTGCTTTCGGATAATAAGGCAAAGAAATCATCTATATTGTAGACTAATAAAGTAGGGTATTCAATGGTTCTAGAGGGTTTTAAATCAAGAAGAACTATATCAAAAAATCAATTAACTGATTTAAAACCAAGAAATGTGACATCAACAAGGCCATAATCTACTCTCTCACTTTTATATCCCTAAGGATGAGATTTTTGTTCTTTCTAATTAGATATATAAATTTAAGTTAAATGGCTTGAACTTACATCTCATGCTTATTCTTCTTTGAGTAGCATGAGTTGATCAGCAGAGAAGGGGGGAAAAAATAAAGTGATAATGATGGACCCACAAGTACTAGTTGACTTGTACACATTATAATGATTCAACTCACATGGAAGATATATTTTCAATGCGTTATAATCATAGGGAAATCCAACTTACATATCAATAGTTTTGTGTAGGTTGTTGAAGTGACACCTAAAGAAGGGCCATCATCAAATACCTCACATCCTTGCCCCTTGGATTCTACAAAGGTGGGTCTCTTGCAACCTTTTTGGCATATAATAGTTGTCTTATTCCTTGCCCCTTGGAAATCTAACTCAATGATCAATGGTTTCCAGCCAATGGCATTGGTTCCTATGAGTCCCATTCTCATTGCCCTTCCTACTGAAGGCAGTTCTTTTACAATCATAGAAATTTTTGAAGAGGAAGAGGAAGAGGAAGGTAAAATCATAATGTCTCTTTTTTTAGGTAAATGATAAGAAACTTCATTAGTACCAAAATAATAGGCTTTATAGTTACAAACAAGAGCAATTGGAAGGACAATTAGAAGCCCTCTTTTTGGAGGGGTTTCATCTAATTCATCCTTCATGCAAAAACCTACAAAGAAAACAATCTTAATGTAAACCTAATCATTCACAAAACCAAACTTTTTGCAGAAAACTCTCTTCAACAAGCCTTTATTTTTGACTTGCACATCTATTACATCTAGCTCTGAGTTCTTGTTTTATCACTCTAGACACTATCTATATAGTCAAGTTATTCCTACTATGAATACGAGTGTCTCTCTTTCCATGTATGGTATATCACTGTAGCAAATTTCTTTGAAGCAAATATTCCTTTGGTTTCTTATTTTGGGTATGATAGGTGGTTTGATAACTATCTGCCGTTGCCGACGGGGCATAAAGGAGGTGAGTTCTTTGATACCAGAGGATCCACAAATCACTTGTAGAGGGGCTCCTTTACCTCTAATCAATGCTCCTTTGCTTGAGACTTCTATTCAGGGTACTTTCCATGATCTTTGAACAAAATATTTCATCATTTGATTTGCTAACTATATTACTTCATAATTTTTCATAGGTGGCCATTTTGTGCTGCCCACAGTGATGATTTTGATTGAGCAAACTTCTGAAATGATTTTCTATTGAATCTTGTGCCATTGAAAGCTTCAACAAGCCTTGAGAGAAATGTTTCTCTTAGACATCCGAGAGAACTTTCTCTTGGACAAAAGTCCAAGAGAAAAATTTCTCTTGGCATTATTCAAGAGAACTTATTGAATTTCTCTTGGAAATATGTGAGGGAAAACTTCTCTCAAATTTTTGAGAGAAAAATGATGCAGAATTATTTTCATTATATATTCCATTCCATTTTCCTATTTCTGCTAAACCTTTTTCGTGGATTTGATTGAAAGAAAAGTTCCCCGCCATTACACAGGTGCTTTCTTTCTAATTTTCTAACACTTTTCTCTTAGAATTTCTCACTATTTTTTTTCATTTTCTTTGAGAAATTCTACAAGAAATTCCATAATAGAGCCTTTTCAATAGTACTTTTCTAAAAAAAAATCTAGACAAAGTTATTGCTTCTTGTAGTGAGACTCTTCCATTTATCCTTCCAAGACTATTTATGGTGAGTTTCTTTGATGTCTTTCAATGAATTTTGTTTGAATTATTTATTTGTAATTGAGTAGACTGTTGGAATTTCTGCAATTTCTTCTAGGGTAGAGGTAGGTTCTATGTAGATGTGAGAAATTATGTAATGGATTTGAGGATCCTTAGATTGAAACTCACCTCTTTATAGTACGAAGGACTTGTATGTTGGCGAAACAAATGGTTTATCTTAATTAATTTTGGATAGTTTTCATCCAAGCTTTGCTTCATTCAGAGGGAAGTGATCAAGATGATGTTGGAACTACTAACCAGTTGATTCGAGAAGCTGTTGATACTATTCAAGTTTCTAAGAACTCTAATGCACTTGCTATTGTCCCGAGCAAGGATGGTAATGTTGAAACCATTGGGCCCCTCACCACTTTTTTTGAGCATGCCAGTGATGGGATTACTGAGGAAGTGAGTCTAGTTCAAAATGAATGTGAGGTAATTCTTCATGCTTTGATGACGATGAGATCACTAGAGAGAGTGATGCTTCTAGTTTTGATGAACTATTGAGGGATAATACTAGTGGGCACGGTGGCCAAGTAAATAGAAGTGGGGATTTTGGTTGCTAGTCTAAGTGCCTTGGAAGGAAGAGAACGAGAGTCTTCATATTCTAAAGGTCATACACCTAATCTCACTACTATTGATCATGCTACTTTGCAAATTTTTTGTTATATTTGTTTTCATAATTTGATGATTTTGTTAGGTCGACCTATTAAATATGCATGAAAAAGTTAGATGTTCAGGTTTTACCACCACAGTTGCCTTCACCTTCACCTCTTTCTTCTTCTCTAGAGACGACGCCTCCTTTCTCCATGACTGATTATATGTTTTAACGGTTCCTGGGTGCAAGAGATAGTTAATATGATGAATTAGAGGGTGTTGAGCCTTTCTTGCTTGCAAAGGTGTTTAAGAGTCATCCACAGCTACGTCTTCCTAAGAGAATCGAAGCACTCGAATTTTGTGCTTTTCCTAGAGTGTTGTTGGATATCTTGAACATTTTGGCCACTAGAACTCCCTTATCAATCACTGAGTCAGACAAGAGGTTATGGTAGAAAACTTGGAGGATGCTTCTACCCTTGGTTTTGACAACAATTGGCTAGAGTCTATCAAGACCAAGGTTTGGTTGTGATATATCTTGAAGCTCATCATGCCCTAGAGCTTCTGAAAGGATTGGGTAATAAGCTCAATGCCATGAAAAAGAGCTACAACTATCTGTGAGCAGGAAGAAGAGGCTGCTTTAGCCGTGCAAGTGGCTCAAAAGGAGTTAGAGAGGCAGCCCAAATCATCTTGACTCAGCACAACTCGAACATGCTAATGTTAAGACACGTCATAGCCAGCTCTTGGAGGCACAACAACACATTTTGGCTCAACAAGATGAATGTTGGGAAGCCATTGCTGCTAAAGATAAGCATTTTGATTTATAATTAAGATTTTATTGTGTGCTTTGTATTTTGTTTTCTCTGTTGTGATTAATGTCATACTTAAAGTAAGGGCGGTGATGAAACATAATGCTGCAAGATTTGTGCTGTATATTGTATATAGTTGTCTTTGTTCAAAGGTTTATCACATGCAAGTATAAACTTTACGCGCATGACTTCGATTGAGTTTTGATATTTGATACTATCTGCCATTTGTAATTCGCGAGTTATCAATGACAGGGCATTTGTTTACCAAAAAATATCCAATTGCTGTGCAATGTGATGCTAACATTTTTGCTTAGAGGAACAAGTAGGTTAACCATTGTCTCCTTTCTCAAGTCTGGGAAATATATGTGCAGTGGAATATAAGGTGAAATTTCCTAAATTTGGTGTTGTTTTTATTAAATTTTTTTTGTGCATTGTTAATGACCAAAGTCTACATTGTATTGAAATTGGGAGAATTACATTCAGGGTCCCCAAATGATTTACAATAGCAATGAGGGCTTAGAACAAAAAAAAAATTAGCATGAGACAATTACAATTAAATCGCTGAACCTTGTCTTGTGCATCATTAACCTTTTGTTATTTTGGTTCTCAGTGTCATCTTTTTTCCATCTGGGCCTCTAAATGCAATTCTCCCTTTTCCCCCCCCCAAACAAGCAAATATTTGTTATTTTTGATAGACCTTTGCCTTGGAGATGGTAGAAATTGCTGTGGCATCATGTTAGAGCATGAAATAAGCATAACTTGTCCTAATTACCTCCAATTCCAATAACATATTTTGGTACTCTTATTTTTTTAAATTTTGGTCAACATTTAAACCTCCATATCTTGAGTGAAACTAGTTTTTATTTTAATAGAAGATATTCCTACTTTACCAAATTTAGAAATGGACTATTATTGTTTTCAAGAAGTAGGGCAGTTGAGAATTTTTTTTTTTTCCCTTTTGGTTACTCATTATGAGAGGCTAACTTTTTCCGTTAGACACAATCTTGCACAGTGGTAATTGAGAGTTTTAATGTGATGAAGAAGAAAGGAACACTGATAGAAGAACAAGGAGCTCACCTCCCCTTTATTAAAAAAATAATTACATTATAATAATTTTAAATATAATTTGTTTTCAAATTATGTTGTAAATATTTTCTTATGATTTTATAAAAAAATACGTTACAATATTATTTGTTCGAAAAACATCTCATTTGTTATTGAATAAGCTTAACCCTCTATTGATTCAGGCCTAGAGAATAAAAGGCAATAAAGAGAAGATTTGCCAAGCGATTTTTGCAAGAAAACTAAGAAAAAGTCTGGCCTTTACATTCAAGAGTTTGTTTCACACTCCCAACATCGTGTCAAGTACCTGTGCAGTAAGTAGTGACACTACCAAAAAATGATTTTACAATTTTTGTTTGAGATGAAGCTATTCTCAAATTACTCTTTTTTTATTATTATTTATAGGCATCCTCCTATTAGAGAAAATCTTGTTTGAGCCATGAACATACATTAAATATGAACACCTCTCTCAGTAAAAATTTAATTAATCATATTATAAAAGATTAATATTTTTTTTCCAGGCTTAACTCCCATTGGCTCTCAATTACTTTTATTAAGGTTTTGGAATAAATTCAACAGATTTTCGGATATCATGAGTCCCTTTTATTTGTCATGCGTGAGGCCTATATTACTGGGCCTCACAGAATAACAGCTTAAACAACGATGCGAGACCAAGGATTTACATGGAAATACACGTGATGTTGCAAGAATTGCAGATTTTCGAATATCCCAGATCAGTCCCTTTTCTTTGTCATGCATTAGGCCTTTGATTAAGGTTTTGGAATAAATTCAACAGATTTTTGAATATCCCAGATGAGTCCCTTTTCTTTGTCATGCACTAGGCGTATAATACTGGGCCTCACAGAATAACAGCTTAAACAACAATGCCAGCCCAAGGATTTACAGCCCATGGAAATACACGTGATGTTGCAAGACTTGCAGTGAAAAAAATAACCTGTTTCATTATTGATTTGTATACCCTCTTTTATTCATTATTATTAAACTAAAATATATAAAATGTAAATTAATAAACTAACTTAGGATTATTATATTATTCAACAATAATGTTCATTTTTTTCCAGCTTGATGTAAATAACGTTAAGTTTCCTTGGCGAATACAAGAGAGAGTTGTAATTGTGAAAAAGGTTGACAAGATGGGAAATGAAGATAGCTAACTAACCTACTTTGAAAGGCTATATGAAAAATACAGAAATATATATATATCTATATATATATAAACCACTCACGTTTCCTACTACATAAATTTCAATTTAATACTTGTTTTCAAAGAGTATAAATGTTAACTAACGTTGATATACGTACATTGGAGCGTGTGAATGGTTCCTATTAGATAAATGTGTAACCAAGATACAGTAGTTTTTTAAAGTTATCCCCATTAATAAATATAAAATACACGTTCAAATGTACATTAAATTTGTACTGCATTGTAAGCATAAATTAAAGTTATCCCATTAATACAACAAATCAAGGAGGCTGAATTTTGAGAGGACACACACACAAAGCATATCTTCAATAAATTAAAGAAGTTTCATGGCTTCTTTATGCTTTTCTTGTCCTCTTACTCTTGATCCCTAAGAAGGAAAAAGTATTTTAGGATGCTTGAAATTCATTAGAGAATTGATAATGGAAATAAAATAATTTCAAAAAGTAGCGCGCACACACACACACACACAAAGCAAGAAGCAAAGAATACGGACTATGACATCAAGAAGAGATTGATGAAACTTGTTCTTCTTTTTGGCCAAACAAAGACTAAAAGGATCATCTTTGAGTGGCACACACTCTTGTGAGATTCTTGCTCTCATTATAATTAAGCTACGGAAACAGATACCTCTCTTTACAATTCATTCATCGATCACTCTGAGTTCAAGTAGTTTGGCTTCTTGCTTTCACCAATCATCAATAAGTTCGATCCACTAATCACTGTCAAGACTCATCAATTGTTGCTTCTTCAATCTTTACAATCAAGGGTGTTATAACTAAACTATATCTCTGTGTATGTTTATGTTCTTTGCATTATATGCATAAGAATGATTTTCAGTGATATCATCAATAGTAGAATATTGTCAGCTCTTTCTATCCAATAATAAGTTTGATTAAAATGTTAAATGCTTTCTATGCTTCACTTATGTTAGCATTTAATTATATGTTAAAATCTTATTGGTTTCTTTAACCTTTTGGAGAGTTAATCAACTTAACAGTTGACAATTTGTCGGGATATATACAAAGCCTCAATAGAAAAATTTGCAGCATATATAGAATAAGAGTGGGCAAAAAATATCCTTATAATGGGAAACCTAAAACTTTGAGAAGTCTAGGTTCTAACTTTTTGCGGCCGTCACGAACTAATGATCTTGAAATACTTTTTGTGATTGTAGAAAAACTTAATAATAACTTGCAACATGAATAGTAAATTTCTTACGCTATAACTTATCCATGTAATTTTATTCAAAATTAAGGGTTAATAATATGATATGGGTCCTATATGGAAAAGTTTTACATAAAAATGTGGTTTATTTATAAGTTCAATGAACACTCTCATCTAAAAGACTCATCATTTGGGACCAAGCTCTTCCTTTTAAGTTTGTTCTCATAAGTCATAACAGAATATTATGAAACATATATAGTTCAAGTATAAACCATATATATCATGTCATTCCAAAGATGAAAAAAAATGAAACTCATAATTATCGATCCTTATAGTTTTATCAGGTTTTGTTTTTAGTCCTTGTAATTTTTTTCACTGTTTGTAATCCCTATAGTTTCAAAAAGATTGAGTGACATTTATTTTTTAGATCTCTATAATTTCCATTTTTTCATAATTTTAATCCCTATAAGGATTAAAAATACTGAAAAAACTATAAGAATTAAAAACAAAATTCAATGATATTATAAGGACTAAAGATTATGTTTTCCTAAAAAAAAACTTATTATATGGTCAATGCATGTATTATCGCTTTAGATAATATATATATAATATATATATATATGCTTTCATTTAATTATTATATAATTTTCCTCTTGCCCTATACATTTGTAATGATTCTTCAGTCATTAAAACTAAAAATTTTGTTGTAATTTGCGTGGCAGATTCTACATTATTGTCATCCTGCAGTGTGAAGATTTTCCATTTTCTCTTCATTATTTCGTTCTTCTTTAAATTAAAAAAAAAGAAAAACCAGAGGTTTCTTGCTGAACAACATTGAAATCTCTCCCAAAAAAGGTAAAGATTCATTTTGATAGCTTTTTTTTTATAGTTATGTCTATTTTGTAATTTTTGTCTTTAACATATAATAGGTTTGCACTTTTGGCTTTTTAATTCTGATCAA